CTTCAAATAATTACTGTATACTGACGAATATCATCTATCGGAGATTCTGCTGTTATTTGCATACATAAATACTGCAGGCAAAAAATGGATTGCTTCAATATAACTATTCCTGAGTCTATTAGGTAAATATTGACTTTCAGGCATCGATAAATTTTTTAATTTTAATATTTATAATAGTTATTCCTCATTTTTCTGTATATTTCCTGATTTGTATTTATTTAGATTTATGATCCCAAGTAATCAAATACTCTGCATCATCACTCATTTACCCATATATACATCTACTGTCAAATTGAATAGACTACTCAACTTTAAATTGATTATCATCTGTTTTTCTGATTAAATTGATACTATTACCATGTTTACTCACTAATAATTATTTTTATTTCATAAATTATTATGCAAATAACCCACTTTAAGAATTACTATTACATTGATTAACAACAATATCTTTAATTTTAGTGAACTATTTACTTATATCATTCATTTCGTAGACATGCATCAAATTGCCTACAATTGGTTGAAATGTGAATTAATTATTATACATAAAGCATATGCGATATCCTTTACATTCAACTTGAATATTTTAAATAACAATCCACTTTTTATTTTTTCCAGAGTATTCAAATACTAATATTAACTTATCTCCTCCACAAGAAATAACTTTATTTTCTTAATCATTTAAACTTAATTAATAAACCCAATCCTTATGATCTGTGATAGTTTATTAACAGATCCAATCATTTGTTTAACCCAAAATTTAATAGTATTATCAGAACTACTGGATATAAATAGATCCTCATTGTTATTTAAAATTAAGCATTGGATTGACTTATTATGTGCTTAAATTATTTATGAGCAATTCCATTAATTATTGTTATTGCTTGACCAAATTAAATAGATCCATCGTAATCTCCTGATATAAACTAATTCAATTTTTTCATGAAAACTAAAGTGTATACATTATTTTGATGTTGATTTAAGACTTGAATTTATTTCAAGATTGCTTACTTGAATTCATATACTTTTATTTAATTATCACAACTAAGTACTACACATGAACAATCTTTATTAAAAGCAATTGCTAAACACCATTCATTTTAATTAATAGAATTATCTTTAATTATTTCATAATTAAGTGAATTAACTTTGGATGGACATTGAACTAATTATGATTATTAATCTAATTAAGATGATAATTCTTGTAATATTTATTGACATTTTTGATATTCTTTATATTATTTGAATGAATCTAACTTATTATTAATTTTAGTGGACAAAGAATCATTTAATTATTTAATATAATTTGTTAAATCAATCTAATAATTTTATTTTATTTTTCATTTATG